TGAACCGCTGCAGACCTCCTGCTGTGGGTTGACCCACAATGTTATTAGGGAGGGAATTCCAGGATGTAGACCTAGTGACAGTGAAGGAACGGTGGTATATTTCCAAGTCAGGATGGTGAGTGGCTTGGAGGGGAACTTGGAGGTGGTGGCGTTCCCATATGTTAGTTTGCTGTCTCTCCATGGATGCTGCCTGACCGGCTGTGATCTCCAGCATTTGTTATTCTCAATACAGATTCCAGCATCTGCAGTAATTTGCTCCTACATTCAAGTAGGTTAATGGAACATAATCCTTTACTGTGAGAAGAACATCATAGTAAGGATGTTGCGCTTCATATATACAGGGCATTGGTGAGACCACATCTCTAACACTGTGTACAGAAAGGAACAAATGCTGGTGATCACAGCGGGTCAGACAGCATACATTGGAGAGAGATCAAGCTAATATTTCGAGTCTAGATGACTCTTCATCAGAACTGATGTGAAGTGTGGAGGGACAGCATTTATGCAACGGGAGGGTGTTGGTTGGAGTATTGGTGGAGAGAGTGTAGACAGTTCAGGTTAAGTGATGGGAATGTGAGAAAGGCAGAACAATGGTGTGTCTAACTACCAGGCTGGGAAGGACAGACAGCCCCACTGGAAAGGGGGGGGGGAAAGAGGGCGACAGAGAATGTAACAAACAAAGCTAAAAGAAAGGGAAGGAGTGGGTTCACAATCTGAAGGTGTTGAACTCAATATTGAGCCCAGAGGCTGTAAAGTGCCGAGTGTGAAGATGAGATGTTGTTCCTCCAGTTTGCGCTGTGATTCACTGGAACACTGCAGCGTGCCGAGGACACACACATGGAGCATGTGAGCAGGACGCTGTGTTAAAATAACCAGCTACAGGAAGGTCAAGGTCATGTTTGCGCACGGACTGGAAATGTTCTGCAAAGCGGGTACCCAGTCTGTGTTTGGTTTCCCCAGTGTAGAATCGGTCACACTGGGGACAGCAAATACAATACACAAGATTGGAGGAGGCCCAGGTGAAAGGCTGCTTCACCTGGAAAGACTGTTCAGGCCCTTGGATGGTGAGCAGGGAGGAGGTGGTGAAGGGGCAGGTGTTGTGCCTTCTGTTGTACCTTCTTTGTTTGTCATGCGCATGCACAAACAAACACACATACGCACATGCATGTAAATCTACGGGGTGAATTTGTATTTGCAGATACATTCTATTTTGTTCAAAAAAACACACAATATGTAGACAGTCGGTCAATGTGGCATTTTATAAATGCCTACTTTAGAAATAAAACCAGTCTGACTCCAAACCAAAACACAAACAGATTCTAAACAAGATCTCATACCTAACATGCATTGTCTGACCTAAAATGTCACCTCTTCTTTACACTGATAAAACCTTTATTTCTCACAGGACAGGGACTTGAAAAGAATTTGGGGATTTACATATCCATATTAATCAATTCTAACTGATTAAAGGTTTAACAGTATCTTAGGTTTATTTAATACATCCTCATCAGAGGTATGACCCTCTGATCTTTTACTTATAAATTCTGTGTCTGATACTAGCTGTCTCATTATCACCTGAAGAAGGAGCAGCGAGCCTCCGAAAGCTTGTGTTTTCAAATAAACCTGTTGGACTATAACCTGGTGTCATGTGATTTCTGACCTTGTCCACCCCAGGCCAACACCAGCACCTCTACATCATAACTCATTGTCATCGGCAAACTAGGATGTACAGCTCCTCACAGCCTCTTCCAAATCACTTCTAAATATATTGACTGATGGAGACTGCAATCCAGGGCCTGGTGGGAACCACTCCTCATTTTACAGAGCTGAAGCCATGCTCATTGTCCCTAAACTCCAACTTCCAGAACAAATCCCTACCCAACTCCAAAGATAGCCTCAGATTCCAAATCTCGCCACTTCACCCAAGTCTCTTACTTTGAACCTTATCCCAATCTCTCCAGAAAACCATCCATGGGGAAATAACACCCACCAACCAACAAATTAAAACCCTTTAAGAATTATAAACCCCTCCAAGAAGTAACATGTCACAGCATTAACACCTCTGGAATACAACAGCCCCAGAAATGATGCATTTATCCACCTTACTAGGTTCTTTATAAAGAGTTAAACTGGGTTAGTAAGAGCTGTCTAAACTCTCAGGGATCCACGTTGGCTTGCCCTGATCAGCACCCAAGTCCTTTCTCACTTACATTTTTCCAGGAGCCAGTCGATACCTTGTCCTGCGTTGGGAAGATTATCCCTTTCCGTTTCATTTCCACATAGAGTTCCCGCACATCACTCATGTCCACTGGCCCATGGTACCTGGTCGCCCAGGACTGTGGCACAAAACAAGGGAAGGAGACATTAGAACAACATTCACCCTGACCTCTCCACCACGACCTTTTCACCTTGACCCTCACCACAGCTGTCCCTTATTGACCTCTCCACCCTGACCCCGGCCATGACCCCCCCGAGCTGTCCACTTTGACCCCACCACACACGCCACTCCTGACCCATCGCGACTCTAGCAATGTCCCCTGACATTGCCAAAATCTCTGACCCCTGGGTCCCCACACCATGTCCCTTCCAACTACCCCTCCCCATCATTCCAAGCTCTGCCCCTGAACTACTCATTCTCACCCTGACCCCTGTGGGAGTGCACACAGTCAGCATGGGACCCAGTGAAGGGCTCTCCACGGGGCAGGCTGGGGGGTTACTAGTGAAGGCCATATGCAGGGCTGCTCACTCACCCTTTCAGGGGGATTGGGGCCTAGCAGGTGAGATGATAAACCAACTGATTCACATCAGTGTGGAGGGGCAAGAATTTTTCTGAAACTGTCATAAATCATGGACACAGCAAGTGAGGGACCCAACCACCAGCAGGTTGGAGCCAGTGGCCAGTGACTATCATTGAGCAGTGATCAGTTTTCACTCCCCTGGAACAGTGTACACACACACCCAGGGTGTGAGGAGCTACAGAGAGACTGGGAAAAATGGCAGTTCAATAAATTCCGGGTTTTCGGAATTAAGGCCAATGCTGTAATTACAACCCAACTGGGAAAACCCAGTCCATTCGGACAGTGACTGAAAAACTTACTTGTTTGGCCAAGCTGAAGAAGTGTCCTACACGAGGGAGAGAAGGAGAGAGACAGAGACAGAGAGAGTGAGAGAGAGAGAGAGGTAGAGAGAGAGAAGAGAGAGAGAGACAGAGAGACAGAGGGACAAAGACACAGGAAGAGAGGGAGGGGTACAGAGACACAGAGAAAGAGGTGAGGGTGGATAGTTTCAGCTCGGAATGCTAGAGGGGAGGGCCCATGCAATGGTGGAGCATTGAGAACGGTGGGTGTTGGAAGGGGGTGTATGGTGGAAGGGGGTGGATGGT